GGGTGCCTCCCCCCGCCCCCTGCCGTAGCGTGCCACCTTTGCTTCTGTGCTGCGCCTGACGGTGGTGCTGCCTTCAGAGCTGGGCGCCCAGCCAGCAGCTGCCACTCTGAAGACCCTTCTACAATAGCCTTGCAATCCCCTTTTAGGTCAGACCTCCAAGCTTGAGAAATGCTGATCTAGTCTGATTTAACCCTGTACATGCATATAGCATCATCCCACCTTATAGTAAAGAATTAACAGGTTTGTCATTGCAAAAATTCACTCTCAGAAAACTCTGAAAAACATGTTTTATATATTTTCCTCACATATTCTTTATTTCTAAGGCCTTCTGTTAAAAGTTCATCTGCTCCCGTTGTTTGTTTCTTTCCCTCTCATAACCCTCTCTTTGTGACATTATACTTAAATGCTTTGAATTGACATAGCAGGATTATCATGTGGGAAATAATCAGCAGGAGCAGAAACACTGAAGGCTTGTCTACACTTAAAATGTTACAGTGGCACAGCTGCGCTGCTGTAGCGCTTCAGTGTAGACACTACCTACGCTGATAGGAGGAATTCTCCCATCGACGTAGGTAATTCACCTCCCCGAGAGGTGGTAGTTAGGTTGATGGAAGAATTCTTCCATTGACCCAGCACCCTCTAAACAGGAACTTAGGTCGGCATAACTGTGCCGCTCAGGGTTGTGGATTTTTCACACCCCTGAGTGACGTAGTTATGTCAACCTAATTTTCTAGTGTCGAGCAGGCCTTACAATAAAACCAGTTCCTGCAGAGTGGAGGGGGAGAATAAATTATTTTGGGGAAAGCTTAGACATTAGTGGTCTCTCATTTAGGAGGCACACATGCTAACTGTACTCACTTATGTAACTTTGTATTAGACATTATGAGCTCCTTCCAGTTAACAAAGATCAATCCCATTTCTTCTTCTGTGAGACAGCCTGATTCAGCCATTCGTTTCTGGAAAACCTACAGTCAGAGAACAGACACGTGAACAACTTCAAACACAGAGAAAGCAGAACATGGCCAGCTCTCTTTTCTTAAATTATTAATGGTTTGAAACGTAATGCACTGATGCATTCAGAACTTTGTGGTATCCACCCATTCATTTCTCCTGAGAATCACTGCAGACAAGCAAGCTCTTTAATGGAATTTTTTTCCAGATCACTTCCTACAGATGCTTCCTGTGTGTTCCTATGGTTGCCCCTTCTTCCAACAGCAGTGTCCAATTCTGACACTAGCATCACCTCTTTGCTAAGTAGTAGCAGGTGTCAGGGCCCTGCCGGTGGGCTTCACCATGGCAAAGAAATCAGAGAGGCAGAGGCGGGGTATACTCAAACATAACTTCTTTTATTTACACATATACAGCCAGTCCTGGAACAGTGACAGTTAACTAGCATGCAGGTGAAGCCCTTCTTTCAGGAGTCTCAGCCCAACACCAATGCCTGGTTTCCAGAGGGAAACTCTGCCTATCTAGATCTCTCTCTTAGGTACTTATATGGCTCCATATGGTCACACCGGGGGTTTATGGCAGAGCTGGGAACTGAGCCCTGCTTTTCCAAGTCCCAGGCTATCATCCTAACCACAGACCATCCTCGCTTCAAGAATTTAGTCTAATCAGAGCCCAAAGAGGAGAGTACACTCTGTTGGTGCTTGCACAGCTCCTGTCCAAGAACCCACCTGTGATGTTGCAGTCTATATGATTTTATAAAAAATTGATAATAAGTGAATATAACGTAACTGGGATATGTTTAATACAAAAGGTCTCTTGTAAGGTATCATTACAAAGCTTATAATCCACTGAGTGTGATCATCCTATTTGTATAAATGTACCACTTTTGTATCTGAAACTAGAAATATGAAATATAACTCCGAGGGCCTATTGTAATTATGCAAAGTGTGCACCATTAATGGTGGTTTGGAATCTTGATGACTCCCATTAACCAGGACCATTGTCTGCAGATGGGTGTGTTTTACCTGTAAGTCTTCCTGTATACGTGTGTGCTGGCAAGTGGGCAATGAAGTCTTGCAGTGACATGTGATCATGTCACCTGAACTGGAATCCATCTTTACCCGGGTGTCTTTCCATTGAGAAGGAGGGGG